TTTGGGCCCAGCGGCTAAACTTCTGTAGCCAGTACATCGCCAGTGGCTTTGCGTGGCTTCCGTCGCCCCTACATGAAGCGATGGAGTGTTCACCGCCATCCCCCCCGCTCCCATTGGATAAGAATTGGACAGCTCAACAGTGAAGTTTAATTTGTTTCATTTACTTCCTTAGGATCTCAATTTTTAAAATAATTCCTGACCTTTAAGCCTAAGTAACTGGAGTAATCTGACACAACCAAACAATATGTTGGCTCTTTCTCCAGAGAGACACATTTTTATTTACATACACATTTTTTTCTTCACCGATGTCTATTCCAGATTTCCATTTAACATTCTTCTTTTCTTTTAATGGCTTCAAGGTGCCACCAAATCCAGCTTGCTATCAGCACCCAGTATAGTCAGTATGTTTGTACCAGCACCAGAAGAATTTACCGATGATCAACCTACTATGATGACTGACAAGTAAGGCAGTTTCTGTTACTTTCAAATGATTTGGTAGTTAAAAACCACTGATCTTAAAAACTTATTTGGATGGGTCCTGATTAAACGAAAGAACATTTTCAATTTTTCTGTAGGAAGGGAAAATTTTCGGAAGTGTGCTGTGAATATACTAGCACATGATTATGTGTTTGCAAAGTGGTGGCTTTGGGTATTATTAGTAGTACTGTTTTATTATTTGAGTGTTGACATTTTGCTCAGTACTGTACACTGTGAAAGATGATTCTTTTCTCACTTATCCCTGGTGCAAATCAAAAGTAATTCTATTAAAGGCAAAGCAGTTACACCAGTGTAAATCCGGTACAAATGAGATCAGACCCCATGGTACCTGTTGCATGGAATTCCTCTAGTTTTAAAGGAAGAAGAAAAGGGTAATGACTGTATGCACGGAAAAAAAGATATCTTACTTTAAAGGGGCTTTTTTAATAATACAGAGATAGGTCTGAACTGGGACTTGCTTTCCAAACCCTTGGATATGAATTCACCACAGTGGTTTTGGATCTTAGTCAGGACCATTTTCTGAAGGAGTATCTTTTCTTGATATGATTTGGAAAATGTCCACGCTGACAGAAATCTTGGGAGAAAACCTGGTGTCAGGAAGTTTGTGAGAACCATTGCCACCTGTGTGGACAGTGAGATGGGAGAAGGCATGCAGGACATGTCTACACAGCAGGGCAAAAGTTGAATTAAGCTACACAATTTCAGCTATGTCAATTGCGTAGCTGAAGTCAAAATAGCTTAATTTGGCTTTTGGCTCTGTGTACACAGCAGGAAGTTGAAGGAAGAGCACTCTTCCTTTGACTTCCCTTACTCCTTGTGCAGTGAGGGTTACTGAAGTCAGAGTAAGAAGTCCTCCAGCTTGCCATTATTTTGAAATAATGGGTTGCTGTGTAGACACACTCTTTGTTATTTCAGAATAATGTCATTTATTCTGAAATAATGCTTCTATGTAGACATAGCCTCAGGTGCTAGAGATTCTATAGCAATGGTCAGAAAGTTCACTAAGGCTACATCTAGACTACAGTCTTTTATCGGAAAAAGGTACGCAAATTGCACTCTGCAATTTGTGTACCTTTTTCCAATAGTTTTGTTACTGGACGCTATCTCGCATTTGAGCTGTGATTACTGTGGATGGAGTGGCCACCAGGGCACATGTGCTTTTTCCTCTTCCCTATTCTTCCAAAAAAACTCCCTCTTCCCCATCCACACACGCCTTTTTGCAAAAGAGCTCTTTCACAAAAAGGCGTCTTCCTCGTAGAATGAGGATTACCAATTGCACAAAAAGCCCTCAGTTCTTTCGATTTATTTATTTTTTATAAATTTTATACATTTGTGAAATGCCTCCTCTTCTAAAATTATTGCCCATCCCTGGTTTATAGCATAGTAGTGAAGTAGATGGCTTACAGCCACCCATTGATTCAGTGGCAGAGCTGGAACTAGAACACAAGAGTTGTGGCTTTCAGGCCTGTCCTCTAGCCACTGAACAGAATGCCAAGATGCTTACTAGAGAAGGGGAAGGTTGTTGTGTGCATCATCAGTGGAACTGGAAATTACGTTGTGTAAAGGCTGAGCATCCCAAGAAGTGGGCATATTTCATGCCTCTTCTTTGGCCTTTTCCCAAAAGCTTTGGCATCAGATGCCAAACCAGATGAGATTGGTTTTCATAACCTTGCTTGCATCTGCTCCTGCTGTTTGGAGGCAAAGAGAAGAAAATTGCCTGTAGAATCCCATTAAGTTACAATATCACAATCTGTTAGAGTCATTAGCAACTGGTTGATCAAATTAACCAAGTCTCCCTACTGGACTGAGATGTGCCAGTTTCCGAGGTTTTGGAACCCTGCCTTATCTCTCTTGTAGCTGACATCTCCCTTCTGATTAGAGATTACAAAACTATTTCAGAACTTTCAGAGTTCTCTTTGAGCATTGCAGGGCAGCAGTTCTGCAGCAAAACTGGTTTGGAACAGAAAGAGACGTCTTTAAAAATAAAGGGAATCTTCCTTGGCCTCCTCACCACATAAAAATCCTATCATGTCCTCTTTCCAGCCTGTAACAACAATTGGAATCTGATCTCATCAGTGTATTGCTTTATTGCTGCTTGATCCAAGGCACAGAGTGGAGGTACTGCCCACCTGCCAGAAATCACCATTCTCTGTCAATGTAGCTCGCGAAAAGAGCTTTGTATCCAGGGTTTAAAGCATAGTAATCTATTTTCTTAGCCATAAAAAGTTCAATGTAATTTGGTGTCTCCTAATTAATTGAACGAATAATATTAGTTTTTAATAACTCTCGTTACAGATGCCATGATTGTGGGGCTGTCCTCGAAGAGTATGATGAAGAAACACTGGGTCTGGCCATAGTTGTTCTCTCCACATTTATTCACCTTAGCCCAGATTTGGCCGCTCCGTTATTGCTGGACATCATGCAGTCTGTGGGAAGGTAACTTTTGGAACTCTCTCTCAATTTTTCTCTCTCTCTTTCTCTTTTATGATGGAAGGAAGTTTTTTGTGCCTTCAAATTGTGATGAATTCCCCAGGAGAACTGAAAAGGTTGTCTTGATGGCATATGGTAGACTATGTTTGAAGCAGCTGGGTCTTGACACTAGTGAGCGGGGATGGTGCTCTGTGCATCAGTCTAGTACACCATGTCCTGTGCAGTGGTTTTGGGGATTTGAGGTGGTATCCCTTTTTTTGTGGTTATTACTGTATTGCTGAAATATGGTATCCTACAATGAAGGTGAAGTTGAACATGATAGATTCCACTAGATCCAGTCATGCTTAGTTCAGAGTCAAGAGCCTTCATGACATACACTCATCTGGCATAACAGAGGCTTTAAAATGTTAAAAGTAAACACCACCACCCTGCAGATGTATACTCAGAAGTGTAGGTGATCCAGGCCATAGAGTCGATCTTTACACTCTCTATCTATACACACACACTGCGTGCAAGTGGAGAAGCTGATTGGGAAGGCTGGCAGTGGCACATAAGATACATGTAGCTACTTGCTACAGTGAAAAGCAAGCTGCGTTCACACTGCATTGTGTAGCTACATACATGAGGCAGTAAAAGGCTCTGGCAGGGGATACAATGAAGAAAGGCTAAGGCAGCGGAAAGCTGCTGGGGGCTTTTCCTGACAGAGGGAACTGCCTGTAACGGCCCAGGGCATAGGGGGCCTGGCCAAGCAGTCACAGCTAGGCTGGAGTCCATATATTGAGCCGGAGTCAGAGAAATCAGGGTTCAGTTAGCAGGAGTCAGGGTCAGAGTCAGGCCAGGGTGAAAGACTGCAGATCAGAGGTATGGCTGGAACTGGGAGGTAGGAACATAGACGCCGACTTTAGGAGTTGCAGGAGGATACTTGATCCCTACATCGCCTCAGGCCCTGCCCTCTCTCCACCTTTCCCCCAAGCTTGTACTCCTGTCTCACCTCTTCCAGCTCCCATTCCATCTCCACTCATTGTACCCCCTCTTGCAGCGAGCCCCACTCTCACTCCTCCTAGTGCCTCCTGGTCACTGCTGAACAACTGATTCACAGAGAGTGGGTGGTACTGGGAAGGAGGTGGAGGAGCTGATGAGGGAGGCTGTCAGTGGATGCCACGTGTTCTAGGGACCAGGCGTTCTGGTCAGCTAAGGTCATGTCATGCTGCAAAGCCATTTTCAGAGATGACCATAGGAGATTTCTCCATGTACAGAGAACTGTGCTGGCAGAAAGCTTGTGGAGATGGCTCCTGTGCCAACTGCTTTCACAACTCAGAGCATAAGATGGAAGGAGAGCATTTGTCAGGGGCATTCCAGGAGTGGTGTCTAGGCAGGGAGAGTTGTGGTGACAGTGAAGCAGAGCTCTCTTATACTTGCTTCTCCACTGGCATAAGACCCCTTAACTTAAAATTACTCCCCTAGGGTATGTCTACACTACCACCCTAGTTCGAACTAGGGTGGTTAATGTAGGCAACCGAAGTTGCAATTGAAGCCCGGGATTTGAATTTCCTGGGCTTCATTTGCATCTTGCTGGGCGGCGCCATTTTTAAAGCCCCGCTAGTTCGGACTCCGTGCCCGCGGCTACACGCGGCAC